GATATCGCCGTCATCACGATCGTCGGTGTCACTGATTGAGAGAAAGAAAACATGAATTTCACCGAAAATTTAATATTTTTCATACAAATCGTACCTGTCAATATCACTAATGCTCTCTTCGGCAAGACCTTGGAACAAATCTAGTTCCTCAACGGTTAAATCCATGTATAAGTTTGACATGGCGTTCATCTTCGCGGTAATTTCTTCCAATACATGCTGTTTTTCTTCATCTGTTTCCTCCTCTTCAATTTCTTCTACATGAAGCAGATTCAAGTTTTCATTATGCTGATGAGCCAGAAGTAATTTTCGTCCACTGTATGCTTTTGGGAGAACCGATCTTTGGAGTTGGCAGTATTTCACCGCCTCGTCTCTATTCACTGTAAACATTCACTCGTCTTTATTCAGTTTTTTTTTTATTAATATAATAACTTACCAAAGTATTTATTGATGCGAGCAATGTAGCAGGCATCTGTGCCTTGTTCGAAATTGTTCACCAATGCCAATTTGAAATTGGCTTGTTTTGTAAAATTTTCTGAATAGAAAACCACATGTTTTTCGGACGAATTTACTCCATAGTTTGCATGCGCAGAAAGATTTAGTTGACCAATCCAGTGAATTGGCACAACCAAATTCAACTTTGACACCTCCAACGTTACTACGGCGAACATTATTCTTGTTTTTTTAAGTAAATTTAATGAAAATATTCTTTTAAAAAATCACATTCAAACGATTCGATTCAGTTTGCTTGTTATTTGTTCCTTGCACTTGTTCACACTGTTTGTAAATGTCAAAACAAAATACAAAAGAGCGGTATGAAGTTCGAGCAGTGAACGCATCCATTCACATGTACTTCTAAAACTGTACACGGTATATAGACAAGTATATACCGTCGCTCTGTATATACAATGGTATTGCACACATTAGTCTATCCGATTGCAAGACTGCTTCTGAGTAGATTGATTGAACATACCAAAAAAAAGAAAACAAACGATTCCCCAGTCACAAATGTTCTACCTAAAATGCGCGATTTCAAAATTGTACTGAATCGTGTGGACATAAGTTTAGTGAATCAATTATTGAAGTCAAATGTAGAAAAAAAAATTGAAACCGAAGTCAAACTCAGTGAAGATGAATCTGTGAATCAACATTCGATGCAAATTGGACGTCGCGTATTGAAGTCACAAAACCAGAATAAAGTGCCATTTATACAAAAATCTCGCATGACAACAAGTACAACAGGTTAGAATACCATTGATGTAGTTGTGCTCTCTTTTTCCTGCCTCTATGTCTATCAATTTTGTCTCGTCATCTACCTCTATGCTGTATTGAAGTCATTTCAAATAACATTCATTTTTATTTCCAGACACAGCCCAAAGAGGCGATGACCAAGCGTCAATTGGGGAGGGTTCTGAGCGAATCATCAGCGCAACTCCTCAACGAGCTTACAAAAGAACGAGAATTGATACAGGTCAGAATACCATTGATGTAGTTGAGTTCTCTTTCTCCTGCCTCTATGTCTATCAATTTTGTCTCGTCATCTATCTCTATGCCGCATTGAAGTCATTTCAAAAACTATTACTTTTTTTTTCAGCCAGTAGCAAAGTGAAACGAATTGAAGATGAAACAGTGAATAAACAGCCGATGTCGATTCGACGGCGCGTGTTGAGGTCGCAAACTCATCATAATCCGACTGACTTGCGTCAAGAACTTGAATATACAAACCCCCAATCCATTCATCCAACAAAACGTCGCAAGTTGGAGGAGTCACTCACAACTCGACAAACAATAGACACTCCACCACAACCACTTAAGACACCACGCACCAAAAGCCGTAAAATTGTGTCAAATGTAGTAGCATTAATGCCATCCTTACGTCCGTTCGAATTGGTCTGGGCAAAAATGCGTGGTTTTCCGTTTTGGCCTGGTATTATAGAGACATACGAAGTTGGTCGAAGCAAAATAATTCATTTTTTCGAAGGATTCAATACCTATTCATCGGCATCTGGACCTTCCAAAAAGCTCTATAAGGCGGTAGAGGAAAGTAAAATATTTTTATTTGCAGAACAAAAACCAACATGCTTCATTTGCGAAATGTTAAATTTGAAACGGACTATGTAAAAATCTTTGTGAACAAGACTTTGCAGTTAATAAATGGCTAACTATATATATATATTAGATAATCGTTTTGTCAATTTGTTTTCTTCCACCTCTATGTTTGTTATCAAAGCAAACATGACCTCTGCGTTTGGATTGAGTTTGGATTGTGAGACATCATAGACAGGTTCTTTTTGGTCGATTGGCAATTATAAAAATAATTATATTTTCCAGAAAAGTATACCACTGAAGTTTTAACGCAATTGATTTCACAGAGCGGCATTTCAAAATGTCACCTGATATCTATGAAAGGCGTGATAGTAGATTACTCCATAGAGGTAGAGTACTTCGTTAGTATATGGAGATGATTTAAATTGATCTACTATATGAATGTATATAGTCTTTGAACATCTACGTTAGTTATCTCTATGGATCAAAGAGTATGAACGAAGGAGGTGGGGAGAATTTTTTTCGAAATGTCGAATGTGTTATATGAATAAATTCAGAGCAAACATATGAAATTGAACTTGTTTTTGATGGTTCATTATCTACAATGAATTTTATTTGATTCGATATGATAATTGACGTTATTTTGTTTTGTTTTATATAACTAATAAGTTGTAAACGCTTGACACGAAAACTGTATCATCTATTAACTATACTTAAAGTTTTTGAATTTGTTTATATTGCTGATAGTTTTTTTATCAAAACCAACTCTATGCATGAGCGGTATTAAGTGAAGAAGAATGAATAAAATGTCATGAAGATTGAGACTTAAAGTACAACAGATTGTATGCTCGTCTGTCCGCGATTTCATACTTCAAAACCCACGACAGCTTTCCGTTCCACATTTGCAGATCACCTCTGTATTCGCCCAGTCATAGTAGAAAGTTATCTCCTCATCCTGTGTAATTTAAAACAATTTAATTGTTGAAAAACGATGCAAAGTAGAGGCAACGTACCGCAGTAATTCGGTGTAAAGCGAAAAAACCAATGCAGGTCTGTGCTTGGCCATTTTTATGAACAGTCCATTTGACTGCTGCTACATTTGGGTTACACGAATGATTGATGAATCGTGCTTCATTTCCATACGCAGTCGAATCAATGAACATATTATTTTCGATTCTCAAAAAGTAGTAATTTTGATATTTATCAGCATCAGCGCGATGGAAACGTCGCTTAAATTCCATAGAGTTGATAACTTCTCCCATGTACTCTATAACAAATTTCCCTTCAGGAATTTCTTTTCTTGTAAAAAATCCCAATCCTTTGTGTTGAGTCGGTTTGATTTCAAATGAAAATTGGCTTCCCCGGCGAAAATTCTGATTACGACATTTTCCTTTGGCTGAACAGGTATCCGAATTGCATTCTATGTTCATTGAAGCATTATAACAGCTACCTCCGGCGCTGCAAGGCGACACATCGCTTGCGGAGCAATTGCATTTGTAGAGATCACTTTCTATCAATTTGACTCGCAATATATTTTCTGTTATTTTCTTATAATTGATTGAGGCATTATTTGCGCGTGGCCATCCTAAAAAACATATAAATTCATTAACTTGAGACAGTGTGAAATGACTACGCTTTCTCCATAATTTTTGTATCGAGTGTTGCTTTATTTTTGAATGAATAGACCCACATTTGAAAAAAAACCATATCTAAGTCAAAAGTTTGTTTTTATTGATATTGAACGAATAAAAAAAATGGAACATTGATTTTGTCAATTTTGGTGAAAGAAATTGTTATTCGTCACTTAGATTCGTCTTTACCATGACTCTGGATGATCGTGTTTAGGTTCAAAGCAACGCCAGTCAAAGCCTAGAAAAAAAAGAAAATGTATTAAAAATTAAACGAATGACCCGTTTCAAAAAGACTACTTACTTCTACGGCCGCGTTAATTTTTCCAACAAATTTCGTCTTGATGATTTCGTTCAGGTCCGAAGCAACGCCAGTCAATGTCTAAAAAATAAAAATAAAATGTATTGAAAATTAAACGTATGACCCGTTTCAGAAAGACTACTTACAACCACAGTAGCTTCAATGTTCTCAACGGATTTCGATAATTGCATGAATTTGCTCTGGTGAGCTCCACTCCAGCTGGAAGAGTTTCAGCCTTGGGCTTGGATTTCGATTCAGTGTCAACTAGCTTCGACTTAGAGCGATCTCGACGACTTGAACGGGTATGCTGACGACTCGAACGGTATTTGGAATGTGAGCGAGAATGGGTGTCTCGATGGCCTGAACGGTGCTTGGAACGTGAGCGAGATTGAGGACTGCGATGAGTAAATTTTTTCGAATATGATCCGGATAGACAACCCGATTCGCTTCTGTATGAATGGCTCTTTTCCCCGTCTTCATCCACAACTGAAATGGAAAAAGGAAAGAAAAAGTTGACAATCGAAATAAAAATGTCATAATTACATAAACTGACATTCTTCTTCGTCTTGACACGTTTCTTTACACTTGGCTTGATGAGCCTCCATGTTTCGCTTATTGGTGAACTCCTTTTTGCAGGTTCGACACATGAATCTCTTTACTTTGTTGTGTTTTGTTTGAATGTGGCGCGATAAATTTTTGGCCAGAATTATCAGACCACATGAGCATGTCAAAACTTGAAAAAAAATAAAATCACGAGAAGATACATTAACATAGCTGTTAACATACCGCTGTTCAAACCATGAAATATTCGCAATTTACCTTTTTCATCGTCCTTCTTTGTCACTTCGGCTTCAGCGTTTGTTTTTTCGTCATTCAATTCATCATTTTTTTTGCACGGGCACTTCTACCACCTTTGGCGGCGCCACGACCGCGAACACTGGCTCTACGATCGATGCCTCGACGATTATCCATGCTACAGTTTTGAATATATGAAAAGAAATCAAGATTTTTGAGAATATGTTCGAAATGCAAGTAAAAAAAATCAATGGTCAGCACTAATTCAATGAAATAACAAACGTATTCGAATGCAAATAAAAGAACTATGAGAAAAGGAGAGGAAAAACAATAAAAAAGAATCCCGTCTCTAAAATACAAGATGCATGTTTCGAATGTGTGTCCCATAGTGTGCGTGTTTTTTTCTCAATAATATGCGTTATGTATTTGTGCAGCAGCAAAAAAATTGGGTGAGAAAAAAATGCACATACACCAAACAAATCAAGACAACATTTCAATAGCGTCGCACGCAAACTTGAAAATAAAACCGACTTACTTTTCCACTCAGATTCGTTTGAATCGCTACTATTGCCTCACTTATGTGTTTTTTCACGTTTTGGGAAAACCCGAAGAAAAAACAGTAATTGATTTTGGTTTTTGATGATTTAGGCGGAAAATTGTCGCTTCTCTGTGTTCAACAAACAACAGCATCAATGAGTTTGACAGTTCAATTTTCGCTATTTGAACATTATGTGTGACACAGATCTGACCTGAAGTTGGCCGCATGTTACAAGCCATCAACAAACCAGAGGCCGACACATACACAAAATTGTTTTTTGAAATAATTTATAAAATATTGGAAATAGTTTCTGAGAGATAATTATTAGAAATTATAACCCAGAAATTATTTTTTTCAGAAATTGTATCCAACATTGTAGAAATTGTTTCAATCGAAATAAATGAGGTCCGCCGTTTGAGATTGAGAGTGGAGTATGTTTTTTCTTCGATTTATATTTTTGAAAAGGCGAGTATGTTTTCTGATGATTCTGTTGGCGTTAAAGTAGAGTATGTTGTAGTACCGTCTAGCCTCTGCGGTCTTCACGGTTTTCGCGCAACTGATAGGAGATAACAACATGGTGTCTTCCGCAAAGTTGTAATACTCGAGGTCTTCTATAACATTGCTGAAGACATCTGTCTCTTATCTCTTATCAGTTGGGCTCAAATAGCGCACATAAAAAAGCAAATTTTATATAGAACTTTTTTTTCTTATCATTTTTCGTGCTTTTCGCGGAACTGAAGAGATAACTGACTGAATAAGAGATAACTGACTTCAGCAATGTTATAGAAGACCTCGAGTGCTACAACTTTGCCGAAGACACCAAGTTGTTATCTTTTATCAGTTCCGCGGAAACCGTGGAAAACCGCGAGGACCCGCCAAAAATGAACATACTCGCCTTTAACCATTTTTGAGTCGAAAGAAACTTACTCTTCTCTTTCATAACAAAGTCAGTGAAACATACACTACTCTCAATCTCACCTATAGATATACTTCAAATATCAATCACTGACAATCGCATGAATGACAGTTGGAAAAAAAACTTAGGGCGTCTCCATTTGACCGTATGTCATATCTGTCAAATTTAATGTTTGTGGTCCAGCTGTCAATGGTGGGCCCCCTGCAATAAAGTGAATATAAAATCTTATGTAAAGGGTTATTACTCTACAGTCATAGATACACAATGTGCAAAACAACAACTTTTAATTTGTCGCACGGTGTAATGTAAAATACCAAAGATTTAAGATTGGAAATGAAGAAAATTGGTATTTTATTTTAATTATTGAGAGCTTTGACCAATCTGCAGTTGAATCGCCAAGCCGCTCAAAATATCGCTGTCGCGCAAAATGCGGTTAATGTAGCGGTCAATGCCGGTTATCAACAAGGCGTAGCAGCTGGCGCAGCACAGGTGGTTCCACCAGCAGTTCCGACAGCCCTCACCGCACAAGACATCGCGGATTGGTTCGACCAAGCAACTATCGACGAAGCTACACAAGCCTTCGTCTTGTGCTTCGGCCAAGGTAAATACAATTTAATTGAACATTTGGTAAAAATGTGGAAAAAAAATAAAAAAATGAAAACGTTACGTTTTCCATCACTCTTAGTATCTTACTCAATTGTTTTTTTAAAGGTTTATTCTTCGGAATAAATGCTGACAATTTGTTGTTTGCCACCAACGAAATTCCGCCGGGTGTTGTATTGTTCGCAGTCACCTGCACCGATTTTCTATCGGATGAAGAACGCCAACAGGCCATCGATGCTTTGCCGCGTGCATCCGTTCGTTCTCACCGCCCATCACTTGTGACGCGCCAAATCGAAAATGAACGTAGGCATAGTTCGTGGCACAACAACAATCCGTCCACGTACATCCGCACCCACAGCGACAGCTACCTCAATCACTTGTCGCGCCCATCAACCCAAGAAGAACACAATGGTCAACGCCGTAACGTTCGGTTCGCTGTTTGAGCCCGTCAAAGTGTCAAAAAATGGTCAAATTGAACTAAACTTCTTTCAAAAAGTACTGTAACTCTGGATAGAGGTGCGATATCACCGTATGTTATGGCTTGAATGAAAAGTATTGAAGTCCTCTTTTATACAATTTCAAGAATTAATGTGACGAATTTGTAAAAATCGGCGGCCCCTGGAACTGATTTGACAGCTGTCACTTTGACGTCTGTCAGACTGACGTTTCTCGAAACATCTCGAGCCCGGGCTTGAGGCTATAAATGAAATGTCACTGCGGCGCTCGAGCTCAGTCTTCTCTGAGCCGTCGAGCGAGCAGCATCTTGGAAAGGTAAGTAGGAAACAGCGCCGTAGCCAGGCCAGTGCAATGGGTGCATTGCACCCTCCAAAAATTTCACCGGTGCAAAAATTTTTTTTGCACCATAAAGAAAAAAATGAACGAAAAAATACCAAACAA